AAAATCCAGAATCAAGGTGCTACCAGATCTGGTGACTGCTGAGGGCCCTCTTCCTGGTTTGCAGATGGCCCATTTCTGTTTGTATCTTCACATGGTAGAGGGAGAGAGGGAGAGAGGGAGGGAGGGAGGGAGGGAGAGAGGGAGGGAGGGAAGGAGACAAGAAGAGAGGGAGAGAGGGAAGGAGACAAGAAGAGAGGGAGGGAGGGAGGAAGAGAGGGAGAGGGAGAGAGTGGCAGCAAATTCCCTCAGGTCTTTTTTATGAGAATACTCACTCCATTCATGGGAATTTCACCATTGTGACTTCATCACTTCCCAAGGCTCCACCTTCTACTACTGTCCCATTTCAACAGATGAATTTTGAGTGTTCACACCTGGAAAGAAATCCAGAAAGAACTCAAGGAAAGGGCACCCTGAGCTCAGTCTATCGATCAAGGTAGAGGCCAGGAATCTTATAGATGGTATTTAAGTTCTAGGGTGATTTCAGGCAAGCCGCCATCTCCCCATTTATTAAAACCTCCTGGAAAGACCCTTGGCAACAAATCCTGCTAACAACCTACTGTTTCCTAGGATTCTTAATTGACTGGACTTCAATAGCCCATAGAGCTGGCCAAACCTTTGCTTCCAGTTCCACCCTCCACCCTCACTTCCTTCACAGTCATAGCTTTAGCAAGACTCTAACCCAACCTACTCCTTGGCTGGCAGCTCTGGGCTGTCTATTGAGAGGCGCTATAGTCAGATGCTGTGTAGTCAGGATGGAAAGGAAGATCTCCCAACGTGAATCACATTTGTCAATGAAATTGTTTCCTTTGGTTTGTTTCCAGTTAAGACTGAATCCAGAATCACTGCTCTTCTTCAATTAATTCTAACAAGGGGCTTAAAGTGTAGAAAACCAGAGAGCAGGGATCCCAGAAAGATTGCTTTGTTTTGAAGAGATGTTTACACCAAGGAGTTCGATCTGCCAAGCATATCTTAAGACAGAGAAGCATCAGAAGAGAGCTCCATGGACAGGGTTTATATGAACAGGATTTTAAGGGGAATGTCCCCTCCCCAAGTAACCCAAGTAGACCTGAATCAGTCAGTAGATGAAAACCACAGCCTTATGGTGGTTAAGAATCTCAGGAACAAATGACAGGGAAATGCACCCAATATGACAGTACGGGGGAGATTGTTATTTACATGGGAAATCCTCCCAGCATGTGGGAAGTGAGGCTGGATTTACAGAAGTCTTAAGAGTAGATTGGATTCTCGATGGTGTCAGCATAGCTGTTACTGAGGTTGGTCAAATCCTATCCCCTCTGACACGGCTATGTGCATTAAACCTAACATCCTTGGTCCACTCCCCCTCCACCAACATGAGAGAGTGGTTTTTCCATGCCAACTTTCTCTCTCTTTTCCCAGTCCTGATTCTTCAGTGTTGGTGTGAGCTCCTGGAGGGTGGGAATGTGTCACATATCCCTTTCTTCGGAAGCAAAGAGCCACACATGGAGAGGGGCTGCAGACTCTGGACAGAAATGAGAATCCTAGTGATATGGTCAAAGGCATAGAGACAAGTGATGCAGATCGGTGGGGTGGGTTGGAGTCACGCAGCTCTTTGCAGGCTCCTTGGAGAAGGGGCCAGAGCCGTACCAGCCAATGTGAAGAGTTTCGTTGTCGTGACCCACACAGCCAGCGGTGTCCTGAGACGGGTCAAGGAGATTAAGAAGAAACTAGACACATACTGAAAGGAAGGCTGGGATCAGGTGGGCCCTGACCTCTCTGACAGAGAGAAAGCGACAGCCCAGCATGGTCTACCTCCTTATTTTTACACAGTAAAAAGGGGCAGTGGGGGGAGCATGAGATGGGGCCAAAAGTGCCAGGTACTTTTGCTGAGAACACTGAAAGTGAAACATTCTCAGAGCTGTGTGTGCTGCAGTTAATAGGGAAGAACACCAAGGCCAGATGCCTGCTGGCCTGGGCGTGCTCCAGTCCCAACAACTTGTTTACATGGCTCTCCTCTGGAGCTCCATGTTCTTGGGGCTGGCCTTGCTCTAGCCCAGAATGTTGGTTGATCTCTAGCTCAGCTGCTCCCCACATTTCTTCTTTGGGGGTACTGCTTAGTGGCCCAAAGCTGTCATATGTTGCTACAAATTACCTGGTCTAACATGACAGAAATTTATTGTTTCAGAGTCCTGAAGGCTGGAAGCCAGAAGTGGAAGTTTTGACAGAGCCACATTCCCTCTTCAGCCTCTGGCAGGGACACTCCTCATTTCCTCCAGTGTTTGGTGGGCTGTGGGACTCCTTGCTTTGTGGTAGCACAGTTCCTGTCTCTGCCTCCATGTCCACATGGGCTTCTTCCTTCTTGTCTCTCTGTGTGTCCTTTTCTTTTATAAGGACCTTTGCCCAGGATGTAAGACTTACCCTAATGCAGTGTAATCTCATCTTGGTGCGTACCTGAGTTACATCTGCAGAGACTCTATATGCCAAGTGTCATTCCAAATAATGTCACATTTGGAGATTCTAGCTGACCTGGGAACACTTTCTGCCACGACAGCCTGGGATGTGCCTTTAGGAACAATTTGTCTCATGCCCTTAGGGATGACCTCATGCTTTGAAATGCTTGTGTCTACTTCAGGGTTGGTGTAGGGGGTGCAGGGGAAGGAGTGGGGCAGGGGAGACATAGGAGGATGTTTATTGACTGCTGACTCCCTGCCAGGTGCTTACTATGTGTTTTGTCTTTGGATTCTGAAAGCAGTGGTTCTCAAATACACTAACCAGACCTGCACTGGCAGCATTAACTGAACATGTGTTAGGGATGCAGATTCTCAGGCTACCTGAGCCCTGCTGGTCCAGAAAGTCTGGGGTTGGTACCTAGTACTCTGTGTTTCCACCTTCTAGGTTGTTCTGGGGCTGCACCATCCTGATGAAGAGTTCTCAGGAGGTGGTATGTTCAAGCTGCCCCAAACAGGAAGGGCCACCTGGAAGCTGAAAAGCAATCCGTGTCCACCCGGACACTAAGTCCTCAGAGCCTTGATGACATCCATCCTGTGTGGGGAAAAAAGAATCCAGACTCTGCTTCCTCCCCAGCTCCTCCTAACACACTCTCTCACCACCTCCCAATCAAGGGTTATCCTCTAAGACCCGCTTTCTAAGCTTCAGGACCTAATTAGCGGTTTGAAAAACTGGTATCAAAAGTACCCAGGATCATTTTTATGGCCCTTTGTGAATAAGAAAACAATGCCGACAAGTCAATATTATGCGCAAACGGCAGTAAAGTCCCCCTAAATGCCTCCCTGGCTCTGATTTTGTAGAGTAAAATCGATGGGAGTCCTTTTAGTTCTGGGGATTTTAGAGGCGAAGGGCCCTCAGCATCGAGAAAGCTCGTTGAAAGATGGAGGCTGCGTTTCCCTGTTACTCACTCTGGAAGGAAGTTAACAAAAGTACTTAAGCCTTTAACCTCCAGGGTGCCAGCCATCAGGTTGCGCCCGGCAGCTCATTAGCATGTGGTGACCCCCGCCGTCTGGCTTCCGCACACACCCAGCGGCTCACGTCCACAAGATGGCAGTAGCCGCTAAAGCAGCACACACACTGTCTCTTGCTTTTTAGTCTGGCATTTCCAAATGAAACAAAATATATACACATAGGCACAATCTGGAAGAGACCGTGGAAGATCATCCCGCCCCTGCTACATCCGGAACTGTCCATGTCGGAGTCAACGTGAGCGAACTGCTTATAAGGGTCTCTGGGAAACAGCTCCCCAAATCTCAGCCATTGACTCAATTGATTAATTAATTCATTTACTTAGTGTCTTTCCTCCCCACATTTCATTCTGAGAAATTTCATGCCTGTAGAAAAGCTGCTTGCATAACATTGTCACATTTATTTTCTCTCTCTCTTTCTCTCTCTCTCTCTTTCTCTCTCTCCTGTCTCTTGCTGAACCAAAGGTTTAAAGATAAGTTGCAGACACCCTAACACTTCACTTACCAATAATGCAACATGTATTTCCTAAGAACAAAGAGATTTCTCTACATAAACACAGCATCATTATCGCTTCCAAAAAGTCCGGTATTGAGACAATCATACCATCTAATATTCAATCCATATTCAAATTACCATTACCCCAGCAATGTTCCGCAGATGGATGTTCAATCCATCTGGAAAGCATACTGTCTTTATTTCCCACATCTCTCTCATCACTTCTTAAGAGTCCAGTTCATTCGTTTTGCAGAAGGCCAGGCATTCTGGATTTGTCTTATTGTTTCTGTATGATTAGACACAGGTTAAATATTTCAGCAAGAGTTCTGCCCAACTGGTAACCTGGTGCATCACTTCCGGTGGCACACGGTGTCCACATAGTCCCGATCCTGGGGGTGCTAAGCTTGAACATCTGGCTAAGGTACCACAGGCACAGCCAGTCCTCTGACTGTGGCAATCAGCAGAGAACATTCCTGACTCTGCAGTCTGTCCTCTTCCCACAGTGTCCAGGGGGATGTTTTGAAAGTGTCATCAGATCAGGCCCTTCATTTGCTTAAAATCCTCCTCTGCTTCCCATCAAGCCCAGAATGACTTCCAGGCCCCTTGCTGTGACCCTCACAGCCTGGTGTGACCTGACCCTGATGGCTTCTAACACTCACTGTGCTCCAATGACCCTGCTGTCTTTTCTGGTTTTTGGAGACAGCAAACTGTGCATGTTCAGCTCTGCCCACCCTCGGTGCTAGGCATGTCTGGCTTCTTCTTACTGTTCAGATTCTGGGTCACATGTCACCATTCCATGCCTGTCTTATTTTCTTGCTCTCCCTTTTTATGAAGTGCTGGTCACCAACTGAAATGATCCATTTACTCGTCAGTTTTCATTGCTTGTCCCATTCTTCAGGCTCACAAGGGCCATGGAGGCTGGCACCTGGGTTGTGTGATTTGCTGTGCATCAGCATGCAGCACAAAGCCTGGCACACAATAAGTGCTCAGGAAATGTTTTTGAACAAACACATGAATGAATGACGTTGGCTTAGTGCTAGTTGGGCATTAAAATGCAGTGGTGGACACTTTGGAGCAGTGTTCTGGGAGACAGAAGACTAAAATCCTGGGTCCTGCCAATGTTACCTCAGACCAGGCACTTAACCTCCTGAGCCTGACTTCTTTCCTCTGTAGAATGAACGGTTTTGACTGGATAATCTTTCGACCTCTGGACTCCAGTATTATCCGAGACTAGGTTCTACCCTTGCTGGGCAGGTGGCATATCTCCTAATCTGTGTACCTCACTCATGTCATCTGTAAAATGGGTCAAATGACACCTATCTCATGCAACTGCTGTGAAGAGCAATTTGATGGTGAACGTGACTGAGCTCAGCCAACTGCACACTGCCCTCTCCAGATGTAGGGTTATTTTTATTCAGGGGAGTTCTCTTGAAATAAAAAAAATCTGATTATCTGTGTCTTCTTTGATGCTTCTTCAGCAAGCAAAAGTAGCATTATAGTCTAGACTGCTTCCCTGGATGACTTGGTGGTTTGAGCTGAAGGGTCGTTACAAGGCCAGATGGCAGAGAACCCTTTTAGATTACCGTGTCCAGGAGCTCTGTGGTTTAGTTAGAAGCCCTGGCATTGCCCTGCAGAAATGAAGATCAATAGTGTCATTTGCTATAGATGTTTCTGGTGTTTCTCACACCTGCAGCCCCTGCCTGTCCCTGGCTCAGCTGCCCACCTGCTGCTTTGGAGACAAGGAGCAGAAGTAAGGCCTGGATGTGTCACTCATCACCATGACAACCACAGTGTGTGTTATTTTGCTGCCCAGCCGCTGAGGGCAGAGGAGTATCAGGGGCCTATCACAGGGGCCCGAGGGGCAGGACAGGGAGGGTGGGGACAGGTGCAAGAAGGTTTGAGTGGGGAAGAGAATGGCACACTTGCATTTCTCTTATTTCTTAAATTTGTTTTTAATTGTGAAACTTTTAATTCACATGCTTTTTTTGGGTCACTTTTCTATCACTGGGACACAAGAACTTACACTGACACAGCAGGAGAAGTTTAATTGGCTCACGGTTTCAGCCCACACTCGGCTGGCTCCAAGGCAGACACAGCATGGCAGAGGGGCCCGGTGGAGGAAGGTGCTCAAGCCATGGCAGCCAGGAAGAGAGAGGAGCGAGGAGTCAGAGGTGAGAGTTCACCCTTCCAGGTCACACCTGCTTCTTCTGACCAGGTCCCACCTTCTACTAGCACACTCATTCCTTCGGGATCCAATCACTTTCCAAACGGGTGAGACTTCTGGGGAGACACTGGAGGTCCAAACTCTGATGCATGCCAGAAAATCCAGCCTTTCAAATCGTACAAGTCAATGTTTGTTTGTTGCAACACTCAAAAGTGTTGGGAATTAGCTCTTCTCAGACTGTACTGGGAGTAGGGGCACAATGTGCATGCGCTTCCTGTATCCTCAGCCAGGTCTTGGTGGGGACAAGACTGACCCCTTGAATGCGCCCAGTGAAGTTTGCGGTAAGGAGGGAGGAGGCTGATTAACATTTAGAAAGCGAATCAGGAAATCTAAGATGGGAAGAAGAGAGGAGACAATGGGTCAAGCTGGAGGGATAGAAGAGAAGGCAGAAATGGACAAGCGTTGGAACTAGTCCTGGAAAGGGGGTAACTTCAATTCTATCCCTGCAAACACTCCATCTGTCCTAGCCTTTCTCGTTTGTGCCTCTTGGTACCCCTTGTGGGCCCAGGACCACACTCTCGTTCATGTTACCCATGCGTTTTGTGACATTTGACTTGTTCTGGTGGGACTTCAGGGTTCATTTTTCTTCTAGAGCCTGAGGTCTTCCAATCACTTCACTTCCAGCAAAGACCAGCAAGGACCTCGAGGAGCAAGTGGAGCTCGCATGTTCACCCCAAGATCAGAGCTCAGTATGAACACTCGGATGGGAGCGTGATCCTTGGATGGGTTGTGTGCAATTCTGCATCCCTAGCCCCAGCTTCCATCCAAAACCCAGGCTACTCGCCCATCAGTTCCTGTCTCTGGTCATGGAGGAGAGTCTAGAGGAGGGTGGAGCAGCACCATTCATTCCCACCATCAGAAAACAATCTTAATTTTTTTGTTCACAAGCCAGTAGTTCCCTCTTTTAGAATGAAAAATAACTTCTTACTTGACTCTGCTGTAAGCCAGTAAATAAGAGAATTAAAGGACTCATTAGGGTTCTCCAGTGATCAAGATGAGCTCTTACACTGGTTATTCCCCATAAGAAGTGAATAAGAAAAAAAAAAAAAGGAAGTGAATAGGACTTTCAATAGAGTCAGATGTCAGGCTTGAGTTCTTTTCTCTAAGTGCAAGAGGGTGTTTTCTGGATCGTGAAAAATAAATGCCCACTTCTCTTCAGTCAAGGGACATAGAGGGGAGAGGCTTGTCATGATGGAGAATTTGCTGAATGCTTTGCAGCTGGGTTTTTCCAAGGCTGTTTTCAACACAGCTGGCTGGGAAAGCCACTGCAGCTGGTGACAGATTCCGGGGCTCTCCTGGGAAGCATGTCGCCTTCTCAGTGGCATGGGCTGGCAAGAAAGAAGCAGGCCCATGTGGGTGGGGCAAGGGTGGAGGAGCCCCATTTGTACTGATTGCTGTTATATAACATGCCAACTAGTTCAAGTGCATTATTTTTCATTTTATTACTGGAAACCCCGCAGGGCATTTTCACAAATGAGGAACCAGAGATTCAGAAAATTACCTAAAAAAAGACAGACCTAGGATTCAAACACAGTTCTGCCTGGTTGCAAGTCCCAGGTTTGGAATTCTCAGCTGCTACTCTGTCCTGCCACCCGGTTGGGGAATTTTGATGTGGTTGGAAGGGATGCAGTCTAGAAGCTGTCCAATAAGGGACAGTAGAGCTGGGTTTGAGGAGGGAAGAAGATAGAGGTGGCTGGGAAGGTAGGACCAACCACTGAGATGGACACAAATGGGGTCCAAGGAGTAGATCTGGTTCTGAGCACTCACTGCTTTAAAGTCTCAGCCACTGACATGGTACAGGCTATAGGTCTTTAGTGGAGGAGACTGAAATTGCTGCCAGAACACCAGGTAGGAGGGATCAGAGCTGGGCTTCCTTCCTAGTGGGGAATTGTAATGCTAAGTAGGAAATAGAGATAGAAGCTTCAGAATAGACTCATTCACAGGGCAGGGGTTGTGAAAGCTGGGACTTCTGTCTCCATGAGGCCAGGGATCAACTTTGGCTCCCCAGACACTGTGTCTATGGCTACATGACTTATTGCAGACATATCTGATTATCCTGATGAGGCAAGAAAGGGGGTTGACTGCTAAA